CAGGAGCGGGTGCTGCCGTCAAGGTTGAAGGTTATGCAAAAGCATATCTCACATTGCAAGGAATGTAGAGGATTTAACCATAAAACTGTCCGACATTGGCTTTGTTTCTTTTGTACCTGAACATGACATTCTTGCTTTATATGAAACATAGTCAATAGAAAATTACTAGCCACAAAAAGGTTCAAGTTCTGGAGGTATTCGGGATTTTATTTTTGATAAAATATTCACTGGTAAGATATGTTATTGATGTCCGATACAGAGAACATGCTATTACTATTCTGTTGGATAAAAGTATGTTTGGTTTCAGTAGAGCTACATTATGTGTGTTTACATCAACCTGGTGTGACAACAAAGATAGACAGAATGGGGTAGAGATTTTGCTGTATTTTTTTATTGAGTACACTGTAAGAGTACCCTTACCAGCGTTGTCTGTGCCCTGCTCTGCCCCTTGACCGCTCGGGTCCGCGCTGACGCCATTACACCTCTATCCCGTGCTGGTTGGTAATCTTGACTTACAAATTGAGAAGTGTCACATTGTGGAGGGCGGGATAAAACTTCTGAGCAGTCAAACACATTGATCGTGTTTTGACCTTTACATAGTGTACCGCACGACGTGTTATCGTCAGTATAACCATTCAGAACATGGTGCGATTGTGAGAGCAAATCACTCACGTCTACATCGGTCGCTATTTTTTAAGGAGATCAGATTGCTACCGACGATACGTCTCTGGGTAAGGATGCTCTATTATTAATTAATTGTAACTTGTACGGCTATGCAACTGCGACCGCTGGACAATAGAATTGCCTGAGCACGATGGGTGTGATGGATACGTCCATCTTGCGTCACTATAGCCTACTATGAAGCTGTCACGGACACGGAGACGTCTACAGTTAGATTTGCTTGTATATATACTGTAGGTAATGAAAACCTTTATGAATGTTATAATTCCATTTACATTACATTACTAATCATATCAGAACAAATCTGATATTTATAGAACATATTTGACAAATATTAAGTGTATTTTATACTGATATAATGACACGGTTATTTCTCATCCAGTCATTTTGACCTTACCACAGCCAGTGACAGTAAACTGCTGGACGGAGATCTGATTGACAGTATAATTCAACCTTTGAACACATTTAATGTCTTTGTTGTTAAAACTGCATATGGCCTGATTGAAGTTCAAAGATTCATGTTGCCAGACTGTTTCTAGTGCGCCAAGATCGACACCACCAAGTCCGGGTTCGCCAGCGTCTGTGCTGGATGTCTTGCTGTTTGACGAATATTTCGACCACCCGAATCCAAAAACCGGACTTAGTACAAACAGGTTTGCCTTTGTGAACGATGACGACACCGATAAGATTCTTACTGCCAATGAAAATGAAAACACAATGAAAAAGGCTCAACTTGTCATGAATTTAGTTCACAAATTTATACAGGAAAGCTTAATGACACAAGAAAGGTGGACCTAAACATTATCCTTTGCAGATTTTTCATTTCGGCACGCAAATCAGATGGTTCAGAATCCGGACCGTCTACTTTGAAAGAGATCAAAGGTAGAATAGAGCGTTATCTTAGCGACACGATTACCGTCTGCTCGCGAATGACAGGGAGGTTGTGAAATCAAATAAAAAATCATTGAAAAACATGGAAAAGGACACTTACCCCGTCGAGCTGATCCTGTGTCCGATATTGAACTAAATAAACTCAGTGAATGCAGGCAGCTTGGGTTTTGGCATTTCATTCGACTGACACATGAAAACATTGACAGGTTTTCCGTGTTTCTCTTCCCTATGTGAGTGCATGTCTGTAGTTGCTGCACGATGGCCGCTGTCTGTCAATGACGAGATCTTATCAAAACAAGCCTTGATTAAAACAACTCGTTGAACCTTGTTTGAAACTTGTCTCCTTTATCAATGCTAGATAGTGTGTAGTGTAAATCAGACAGAAATTTAACTGCAATATATATAATGAGATCTTTAAAGTTTCTTAACAGAACTATATTTTTTCACGCGTGACAACTCGATTGGAGTGAGAGGACAGTGTTTTTCACACGCAGGTTGATAGAAAACAGCTGATTCATGACCGACGTTTTTTTCTTCAAATATGACTTTAATATGATTATGGATAAATCTCGGAACTTAAAACATTAATTTCACTCGTGACATATTTTCCGTAATCACTCGTACCTCATGGGTTATTCTATAAATATATACATAAAATACAAACACGTCACAATACACACAAACCAAATCTACCATAATGCGGCTGTAGACGCAGCTCTTACCAGTTTCACTACAAAGGGATGTAATGACGCTATATAAGTGCAATAATCTTGGAATCGACGTTCAACCCCATTTCTCCTCACCTCACTGTAGTCTTCATGACAAGGGGCGGTGGGGTAGTCTTGTAGTTAAAGCGTTCGCTCGTCACGCCGAAGACCCGGGTTCGATTCTCCACATGGGTACCATGTGTGAAGCCCATTTGTGGTGTCCCCCGCCATGATATTGCTGGAATATTGCTAAAAGCTGTGTAAAACCATACTCACTCACTCTTCATGACAAAATTATCCATTAAATTCATGTTTTCAATTATGTGATGTATATGCCTGTTTTAGAAAATAATAATATTGGTAAATATATCAGAAATGACAGTGCAGTAAACATATTCATAAATACAATGAACACTCAAGATACACAAACAATAACTGATCTATGTTTATAGCTTTTTAATGTGCAGAAAAAACAAGAAATATGTTTAGTACCACTTACATGTATATACTTTTTTTTCAAGAATACTACATATGTGGGTCTCTGTGCTATATGTGTGTATATGTCTGTGCATGTATTTGTCTACCTCATACCAAAAAACTGCTAATGCTGTTATCTGAACCACAACATATTTTTTGTGTGGCCTCACAAACTTAAGTACTTTCACGATGAATGTAAAAATTGCAGCGCTTAGAAATGTAACTTCTACATGTCTGTAGTTTGGACCATTGACCTTTTTTATTGAAAACGTTGTCTTGTCTTGTCTTAAAATTCATCGAAACACAATAAAAAACTTAAAATTAGCTCCCAGCTGAGGGAGCACAACGTTCGGCTCCTTTGTCCAGCAGATGCTCAATTTTGTTCCCCCGCACGATGTTGCTTGTGTAAACAGCACCTGAGGTTCAGGGTGAGTGAGTGAGTTGGGTTTAACGCCGCTTTTAACAGTATTCCAGTCATATCACGGCGTGTCAGCTTAATGTGGGAGGAAAGCCCGAAGTGATGCGGGCCTCAGACGTTTACCACTTCGGTGAAACCCACGAGCACGGGTATGGTGCTGACAAACCTAGAAACATAATCAGGGCGAACCGGGATTCGAACCCACAATCATAGGTTTCTGGCGTGCCCAAGGGACGCAACTCTGCACAGCGAATCGCGGCGCTTTATACGACTGGGCCACCCGTGCCCCCTGAGGTTCAGAGGACAGGACTGGGACAGTACACTGTTCACAGAGAAGTCCAAGTTTCATCTGGCCAGGGCGGTCGGGTAGCCTAGTGGTTAAAGCGTTCGCTCGTCACGCTGAAGACCCGGGTTCGATTCCCGTCATGGGTACAATGTGTGAAGCCCATTTCTGGTGTCCCCCGCCGTGATATTGCTGGAATATTGCTAAAAGCGGCGTAACTCACTCACTCACTCATCTGGCCAACTCTGATCGCGTCGTCAGTTTGTGGGTGGAAGTGTAATGGTATGGCGTTGGATCACAACTCATGGGGAAATTTATCATTGCTAATGTAATTTGAATGGCATACGCTACAGGGACGACATCGTTCGAGATCATGTTCCATCCTTTGTGTTAATGCAAAGAAGTAACTGTACATTGCAGCAATATTATTCCAGCCCACATGTTGTACGTGTTGTAACAGACTTTTTAAGGCAAATGGTGGTCACACCCGATATTGACATTGTTAATTGAGTTGTTACACCCCTCTTCTGTTAGGGCGTGTCGCTCTGTCTCCTGTTACCAAGTCTGGTCTTTGTCAAAGAATTTGTTATTATAAACCGCCTCCGTGGTCTAGTGGTAGAGCGTCCGCCCGGAGAGCGGAAGGTCCGCGGTTCGATCCCCGGCCGCGTCATACCAAAAGACGTTAAAAGATGGTAGTAGTAGAAAAGTAATACCTTCAGCACCTTTCGTGGAAGGTGCCCTATGAGCCTAATGTTATGCTAATAGACATGCATGACGTCACAATGAGAACGGCGTCATTATGCATGAATGTTAAGAATGTGAAGAATGCGGCCTTTGTTAAAATGTCATAGTTGAGGAATTCTTTAGGAATGCCAGCTGTTTGGATTTTTTTAGGAATGCCAGCTATGTGGAATTCTTTAGGAATGCTAGCTATGTGGAATGTAGTCGGGGTAGAATCCTTCAGATGTATACTAGAATGATCCTCATCAAATGGAATGTCATCCCTTTCGTGAAGAAATTTGGAATTCTTTAGGAATGCCAGCTATGTGGAATGTAGTCGGGGTAGATACCTTCAGATGTATACTAGAATGAGCGTCATCAAACGGAATGTCACCCTATCGTGAAAGAATGAAACAGTCCTCGATCTCTTGATATAGCTACTCAATGAATAAGTAGAATGTCGTCATCTACTCATGACGAAGAGGAGAATGTACGAGTTCATTCACCATTTGATCATCACAGTCGACTGCGAGGAAATATTTTTGTTGTTGTTTTGTCTTACAAATACAGACGGACCTTTCATTTTTGGATGGAAAAAAGCTGATTCAACCAATACCATCAATCATGTTCACGAAAATAAATGAATAAAAAATAGAATATTTTTATAAAATATTTCTCTACTTTATTCACGCCGTGATATATTTCGCTGTAAAAAGTCAGTCTAATTCTTATTTTCAATCTTAATTTTCAACTCTGTGATATATTTCGTTGTAAAAAGTCAGTCTTATTCTTATTTTCAATCTTAATTTCCAACTCTGTGATATATTTCGTTGTAAAATGTCAGTCTTATTCTTATTTTCAATCTTAATTTTCAACTGTGATATATTTCGTTGTAAAACGTCAGTCTTATTCTTATTTTCAATCTTAATTTCCAACTCTGAAAGATTTCCTTCGCTTATATCGTGCCCTACGTTTCCCCGGCCATACACGTTCTTCTTAAATTATATCCGGTTCACATCACATATTATTCACCGAACATATGATAAATGAATGTAAGTATGTTGTAAAAGCAAGGTTGAAATGAAACATCCCAAGTTCTTATTAAGGGTACATGAACAGTTTCAGAACAGTGTTATCTCACCCATAGTGTTTTCCAAATCCTGTTGAAATTCACGAAACACATATCTTCCGTGTAGCATGTATCCCTTATTCCACACGGCTTTATCAAGAACTTTTACCCACCTCAACCCTACACTGTGATATACCACCGTAAATGGTCTTATAGAAATAACCGTCCCCCCTTATGGTAACCCATGTTTAAGTTACAGTATCCTGTTTAGAGATAATACGTTAGTATGTACTCTGAAAATAATGTTTACCTCATCCGATATCCGGCTGTATGAATGGGCGGGACACGCGTTGTACTGATTGACCTAGATGGATACATTACCTCAGGCATGGCTACACCGTGTGTGAATACAGGCTGCCGCTTTGGGAGACGATGTGGGTCACCCGTGTCGAACAAATGCAATAATCTTGGACTCGACGTTCAACCCCATTTCACCTTCACTTTCACCTTGTTATTATAAAACATTGTTCACCAAGAAAGTTTAGATTTCAGTTCCAGCAAATAGTTCAGAAGCATCTGCACTTTCATGACATTTACACCAATACCAAAATGACCTCCGTCCGTACTCATCACACCGGAAGTTAAGTTATAAGTGTCAAAAATGGGTATATCATATTTTCCTAACCCCTCAGACATAAATTTGTTAAAGGCTTCTACGCGGCTATTGTCTTGTCTTGGAATATTAGGAGATTTCAGGAGACCAAATTTGTGATTGGCAGACCAGATCACCTTTGGCCATAAAGCTTTGTTCTTTTTCATCATGTCGATAACAGGATATATATATTCAATAAACACCCTCTCAAAGTCAAAAGAATCGTGGTACCCTACACCAACTAGTACAACTGTTTTGTTTTTGTGAAGAAATGAATGAAAATCCTGATGAAAGTTGGCCGCAGTAGCAAGATGGTAGTATTCCAGCATGTTCACATACACTCTTCCATCACAGAATGTTGCTTGTCTCTTGATGTGTGCCCTACATACCTTTTCTGTGAATGCGTACATTCCCGTGCATTGCTTGTGGATGTCTGAAATACAATCAAAATACATTACTTGATGAAATTGTAAATGTTAGTTTACTAGATATAAATTTAGTGTTTTCAATTAGCCATGTTATCGATTAACTCGCGACCCGTGAAGGTCCGGGGTAGAAAAGGTCTTCAGCAACCAATGCCAGTCGTAAAAGGCTACTATGCTTGTCGTAAGAGGCGACTAACGGGATCGGTGGCCAGGCTGGCTGACTTGGTTGATTCATGTCATCGATCCCAATTGCGTGGATCGATGCTCATGGTATTAATCACTGGATTGTCTGGTCCAGACTCGATTATTTACAGACCGCCGTCATGTAGCTGGAATATTGCTGAGTGCGGCGTTAAACAATACACAAACAAAACAAAAATCCCACAAAACTCACTCAATGAAATATCGAGTAAATATCGAGACTTCGATGATTCTAATCTATGAATCAATCCACGGATTGCCATCTTAATAAATCCCTTCTCTTATTTAACACAAACGTCAAGTATACTTTCAAATATTTTTTAGCCTGACCACCCGATCCCGTTAGTCGCCTCTTACAAGCATAGTCGCCTTTTACAGCCAGCATTGGTTGCTGAAGACCTATTCTACCCCGGTTCTTCACGGTTTTGAATGTGGGAGTAATACATCAGGGAATGAACACTTAATATGCACGAGCATGGATAAGGAGCTGAAAAATCAAGGATCATGTTCAGAGCGAATGTGGGTCTCGAACGAACGACCAACGTATCCAGGCAGGTTCAGATCACACAGACACAAGCTAAATCTCATTAAAATCAGATCTTAGTTCTCGCTACTGCTAAACAAAGATCTGAGGACATCCCATTACGGGTCACGTCAGACCGACCTTGCGCGAACTTTGACCGACCAATGGAATGACCAATCAGAAGTCAGCTTTCTCGTGCTTTACGGCACAAATTTCAAATTGGCGACTTCGCTTCGCAACATATTTTGACAAATTCATGATTACAAATTTGAAACCTGAACAAAAAATATTCTGGAATGGCTAATCGATGGTCAGGATTGTAAGGATTCAGTCGTTAAACCCGTAACTATCGTTCGGAATACCCCGTGTTAAAGTTTTCGAGATTGCATGATTAGAAATCACATTCCGACTGTCACTTTCATAATCTGGTAAGCGACGCACTGATTGGTCGGATGAAAGGTCGTTCTGACGTGACCCTTAATGGGATGTCTTCAGATCTTTGTTTAGCGGTAGCGAGAACTAAGGTCTGATTATAACGAACTCAAAGGGACTACAATGTTTAGTTCGTTATAACCGTAGTTCGTTATAAGCATATATACAGCATAACTACAGCAAATAGTCGGGACTAAAAAGTTAGTTCGTTATATCCGTCAGTTCGTTATAAGCGTGTTCGTTATAACCGTAGTTTACTGTACAAACCTTTCGGGGTACCAGCTTTGAGGGCACCATCAACACCGTTGTTGGAGAGCACCATCAACATGGCCGTGTACACGTGGCGCATTAAAGAATCCCCAACAAAGGTTATTGTCAGCCCCTGTAGAAGATCACATGCCTGTTGAGCCGTGAAGTTCTTCACCTGACATCGGGAATCTTCGGGCTCCCACGTAGAGTACTCTGCATAAATCTCGTTCCGAAGATCGAAACAGCTCGGACATTTACAGTCATCCGGGGTCTTGTTGATGCACGTATCACCATAGCAACATGGCGTAGCACCTTCCGGGTTACACAGTGCACGAAAGTAGTAAAGGTTTTCATATGCCACATTCCCACATTTTCCGTCCCTTCTCTGCATTGACTTCGGCAGACCATGTGAACTTCGAGCTGACTGAAGGAATGTGTCAATGTCAACTTTCTCTTGTGCAGTCAGAGTGCGAGGCGTCCATCTTCCTCTCATCATCCCTGTCTTCACATCCGGGCATTCAGGTCTACCTGATGTCGCTTTGAAGTTTACATCCGGGTACGTTATTGATAAAAAATTGTCCTTCGTTTTAGTTTGAATTCTTTCTTGAGTCCAATAGTTTGAAGCAGCGTAATCCATTACAGTCCAAATCATGAATGCTGAGACTACAACTGCAATATACAATGTACTTGTTCCCTTCATTATTCTGAAAAATAACAACAATTATAACTGAAACTGAAACCGAAAACGTTTGCAAGATATAGTGTACTAATATTCAAATATTTCTGTGTGTCCGTTTGAGGCGGTGGGGTCCTAAAAGGGTTGTGGATCGATACCACCAGAAAGTGTCAGACTAGTCACTGCAGCCACGACATTACATTAGGAGGGCGGTGGGGTAGCCTCGTGGTTAAATCGTTCGCTCGTCACGCTCAAGGCCCGGGTTCTATTCCCCAAATACAGTAAACTACGGTTAAAACGAACTCAAAGGGACTACTTTGTTTAGTTCGTTATAACCGTAGTTCGTTATAAGCATATATACAGCATAACTACAGCAAATAGTCGGGACTAAATGTTAGTTCGTTATATCCGTCAGTTCGTTATAAGCGTGTTCGTTATAACCGTAGTTTACTGTAGCTAGGTACAATATGTGAATCCCATTTCTGGTGTCCCGCACCGTGATATTACTGGAATATTGCTAAAAGCAGCGTAAAACCACTCTCGCTCACTCGCTCATTTCGTGTCTATCTCAACGATTCTCGGTTGAACACTCATGTCGCTTCATTGTTAAGGACAGTGCAATATGACGTTACCCATGACTTATGACGTCACCAATCAATAACATTGTGATTTTTATCCATAAACATTAATTGTCTCCGAGAAATATTGAAAAAAATAATTATGCTTCGTATTGTAGGAAAAAAATTTAAAAAATTATAATTCATAATTCTAAATAAAAAAATTCTGGTCTTGCAGCTGTAGCTGAAAAAATATCTGCTCTGAATACAAAATTCCAGTCCCCCAGAATATCAAATGGTCAGTCCCAAAATGGGCTTTCCTTACCGTGTGATTCGCAGTAAGAAGTCAAAGGTAACTGAATCGCATAAGGCGTGTTGCAACACATTGAACGGATATCTTAGATAAGAGGCCGGACATTTTACATTCTTTGGTCTCTGCCTCATAAAATGTTTTCATGAGAAAGGGTGGAGAAAACTAAATGTTTCATGACACACCATTTCCTTTCCGAACACCAAGCTTATCCAGGAAACAATTTTATGGGTTGTTTTTTTTGTGTAAAATCAGACGCAAGTATTTCATGTTATAAATCAGTCACCCAAACAAATACACCCAAGAGGTGCCTCACTTCGCGCTGTCAGATATGTCGTGCAAGAAGCGATTATATCTGGGTTGACCAATCGACCCTCAACCACGCTCATTATTCAAGGAGGGACCAAGGCAAACTTCAGTGTTTCAACTGTATATGGACTGCCAGCTGAGAGCTGGTGATATGTGTTGTCAATGTTAATACAAATGAAATTATAAAGCTTTGTCCATTTGATTTAATGTCTTGTGATGTTCAAAGCGTGGTTTATGTTTATTTTTTACTTATCTGTATAGTTGCTTTATTTTCTTACATCATGCAAACGGTACATTTCTAAAATAACATTTCTTGGATATGCAGCCTTTAAAAGTCTTCACATTCAATTAAATTTCCGATTTGAATGCATGTATTCACTACAGATCGTGTGAGGTCTGCGTGTATATTCAAGAAAGTATTTCCTTATGTAATGTGAGTATGGTTTTCAGCGCTTTTAGCAATAATCCAACAATATCAGGGCGGGGAACACCAGAAATGGGCTTCACACATTGTACCCATGTGGGGAATTCCACCCGGGTCTTGGGTGTACCACACCGCTCTCCTGATATCGTGACTGGGGTGACAAATCTAACATTCTCTTGTGATATCGATCCACACCCCCCTTTTGTGCCCCAGAGTATGTCAACATTAAGGCTGGTAAACAAACAAGAGACATTTAAGTGTTCATCTAGTCCCGGGGCCTGTTATACGGTCGGAAGACTCCCGAAGACTATTCTAAAAGCATTGTGCACAAACGAAACGGTAAAATTTGTTGTAACCCCATCGCCCAGCTTGCCATCTATTCTACTCATAAGAAGTTAAAGAACATGGCTTGACAGATTAATTATAGTAATATGACGACATCGAGTGTTATCATCCAAAAACTGGCTCCCACGGGAGATATCGCTTGTGTGAGATCAAGCGATATCTACATTGTAGATATCGCTGCAATGAAATTGCATCACAATGCTTTGCAGACCATTGTGACGTCATTGGTTACCATGCTGTTAGCAGTACATCTTACACTTAAGACACTGCTTATTATTGAAAAAGTTGGAAGAATGATGTCGGATGATAAATAAAATCTCACCCTCGTGTCTTTTGATATAAATATATCAACACTCGTTGATAAATGTGGAAAACTCCTCGACAAGTCATCGAGTTTTTCGACTTTTAATCAAATCGTGTTGATAGATTTTACATCAAAAGACACCCGGTAGAGATTCTCTATTTCTTCGTTTGAGAAGTATGTATATTGTCTTTATAGATTTTAGAAACGCTTTTAGACACAGAGAGAGAGAGAGAGGAATGATACATTCATGTGACACATTGTATATATAGGACATTTATAATCACTGGTAATAGTACAGGTTCAAAGAGTATCCAGTCAGATTACGGTAATGAGACACACATTCAAAGAAACAATTAACACAATGAGAAAATGTAATGTCCAAATCCCTCCCTTGTATTAAAATGCATTACTCATTAAATAAACTCTATACATTTATGCAAATGGACCTGAGACAGGTGGAAGTACGATAATACCCTGCATGAGCTAAGAACGTTGCTAACGACAAATAAATTCATCATTCAATATAGAAGCCTGCTGTTGCAGATCATCGAACAAGTCTTGAGTGAAACACACAATCGAGTAGGAAATCATCCCCTGATAGAGAGAGAGAATGAGTGTAGACAGAATGAGTGAAGACAAAATGACAGAATGAGTGAAGACAAAATGACAGAATGAGTGAAGACAAAATGACAGAACGAGTGAAGACAGACTGAATGGAGACAGAGCGATTAGAGGCAGACAACCATCCGCCCGTTTGCTATCAAGGTGTGGTACAGGTACAGGTATTTCCCAATATGGTGGACACCCCTGATATTGATCTACACGCCCAAAATGAAGTTTACAGAACTTATCGCCATTACCCATTCGCTGTCATTTTATCAGTCCCCATACTTTCAGTCGGTAGTATATATGATATTGAACTTGATGCGTAGGTAGACCATACCTTGTTATAGAGAAGTGTTTCCTTGAACATAGCCCTTTCATGACAGCTGATGAAATGTATATAAGCCCGGCACGCAGGAACACTGTGTGGAGTATCAAAATAATATAGCCACGTTCTGGGCCGGGCCCTACATGATCGCACTCAATAGCTTCGTGTACAGTAACATGGCTTTTGTAAATGTTGAATAAGTTTACACTAGGCCGGGTGTAGTGCAGGAAGGAGAACCGGTCTAAAGCATGTAATTCATTCGGGTGTGGACATAGACCTGCCATAAGCATCACCGCCATACAACATATTTAAGCTATTCATTGATAACACGTCCACACACACACACACACACACATACACACAAAATTATTGTATTGTTCTGAAAACGTAACTATAAAACACCAACGTCAGAATAGTTCGTATTTAATAACTCAACCTAATGTACTGAACAGACTTACAGTATACGGTCGATAGGGTGTTTGGGACATGATGTGAAAGTTGCAAACTATTGATAAACAGGTTTTCCATAAGATAATTTCTGTGTATTTCTTTGTAAGGAGTCTTCTGCCAGGAACAAACTACAACAAAATCAACAATAATAATAATAATAATAATAATAATAATGTTATAGTGCAAACCATTTCAATACTTTTATTTAAAATTGTGCAAACCATTTCAATACTTATTTAACATTTCATTTATCTAAATACCTAACAGGTTCAATATGTTTCCAAGTGCACCGAAATTCTATGCCCTTTGTTTAATATATTCAGCAAACATTCGGCGTATCCCCTCTTATCATAAGCCCCTCCGGGGACCCTTAATCTCCAGCGCTATCTATAAATTTCAATTAACACCTCCTAACGTCGCCGGATCTTACGTATATAAATACAGACAGACAGACAGATAATTTATTTAAGTCTCACCTCACAAGTACAGGGTAAAAATATGCTATACAAAATACAATAAAAAGTGAGCCACCCTTTAAGGGTTACGAGAGACTATATATGAACTAAAACTGCACAAAACATAAAACTATATACACATAAAAGGTTATCACTACAAAACTAAGAACATAGAGAATATACCATTGAAATATCATAAAATATACACAAAATAAAACCTTTACCGATTACAGTATAAAACTTGTTTCCGCTTCTGTATTAAAAGTTTGCAGGTTTTTGCGGAATAAAAAACAACATCCGGATGAGCTAAGATGAAACTAACTTTCTGTACATCTGTAAAATCATTAAAAGTACAACATTTATCCACACATATACTTAAGAGGGTAGAACGTATATCATTATAAAGGGGACAGTGTAATAAAACATGGATTTCATCCTCAACTTCATCCTTACAGTAAAAACACGTTCTCTCCTCCACCGGTGTATTTGTGTATCGCCCAGTCTCTATGTTTATTGGGGCTACTCCGTTTCTGAATTTGGCTAAGGCACTTCTATTACTCCTGGGAATCGAGTTCAAAATATATGTTTCAACACAAATACCACTCTTAAAATGTCTGTACAGTCTCAACTTGTTTCCTCCCACACTACTCCTGCTGTGAGTTCTCTGTACATCAGTTTGCCAACTGGCTCTAAAACTCTCCTGGATTTTGGCACATATTTCAGATGTGATAAAACAGGTGTGGAAATTGTTGCTAAGAGAGATAAAATGTTCTAGGTTCATACTCCTCAACTTATCATGTACTCGTTTGTTCCAGTTTCGCTTGCGACGTTCTGCTTGGGTGTTGCTCCAGATAAAAACTTTAGATAAGGACCGTTCAGTGTGTATGGAACTAAGACGTTTATACAACTTCGTAACGCTTTTCCATTGTCTCACACATGGTGGAGTCCATCCCATATCACCAACCAGAGCTGCATTTGGCGCGTATTTGTTGAGTCCCATATAGAACCGCATGGCTCGATTATGTAAGGCATTGACAGCTGGCACGTTGTACTGACCCCAGATTGCAGCTCCATACTCAACTATAAACCAGACCATAGAGTCGTAGAGTTTAGTGTACGTCTGGTATCTCATTCCTCCCATCACTTTGTACTTAGATATGAGGAGTCCAAGTGCTCGGCTTGCTGAACTTGCTGCCACCTTGCCCATCCGTCTATAGTCTAAAAATTCAGTCAGAAAGAGTCCAAGATAGGTGTAACTGTCTGATACTTCCAGTTCAATATCCCCACATAGAAAAGTAGATTCTGTCTTAAGAGTTGCAGGATTCCGGAAGTGGATAACCTTGGATTTGGCTTGATTCACTGTCATCTTGTTCTCTAAACACCACGAGTTTAAACAGTCCAACATCAAGTTCAGGTTGTTCTCATTCTCGGCTAGAAGGACGACGTCATCTGCGTAGGCAAGAACATTTACATATTCTTCATTGATTTGGACACCAAGTGAAAGCTGATTGATACGGGTGATGAAGTCGTTGATGAAAATGTTAAAAAGGGGACAATGACCTTGCCACACGTTACGTAATACCTCGCTCTACAAAACCCGACTGACATGGTCAGTCAGGGGGACAGCCTAGAGAAGAGCCAGAAGGTAAGCGACAGAACGGTTCTCCCACCCGGGAAGATTGGCCACTCGGTCCCGGGGTGCGTTCTGTCACGTTATCATCAACATGTACCTTTTCGACTTATTCCAAACCATCAACAATAAATATGGCTGCTGTCGTCCAAACTTCACCCCTGAGTTTTGTCTTCCGTCATCACCCTGAGCTACCATCCGAGGGCCGAAACTTACGCCCTTGGACAATAATAATAAACGTGGAGGCTCTTCATGATATTTTTTTGTTGTGCACTGTTGCACAAATTTATTTGTCTAATGATCCTCTTGTAATCGTTTGGTCAAATCCAATTTTCAAGTGTATATTCTCATTTGCCCCACAGTTCAAACGGCAGTGTAGTCGGGGAATCCATGTTCGCATCTCTTAAACGAAGAAATTTGGGGATGTGATCATACTGTACATGTAGATGAAACATATAACAATGTGTGTGATGATCTCAGAGCGGATTTATTTATGAAAATATGTGCACATTTCACTGTTTAATAACATATATTTGACTTCGTACGGGGACAGAAATAGAACTTGCAAATTGTCAATATCTGGTTTACTGTAATATCTCACACTGACATCTGTAGAGAGAACATCCACTTCTTTTCATTCAGAGAACCAATTCTCTATTTCAAGATCATTGCAAGTTGCAGGAATGGTGTGTCACTTCTGAACACTTCGATCCAGAGTTTCTCAGTCACCATCTCTGAAAATACTGTCCCCAAACGTCCCAAGGTATCCACCCCATGTTTGACGCGCTTTTTTCAAAAACGTCAAGGATGTTATTGAATTTTCATTATTCAACATCTTCATTTTGTCATGCAGTGTGGCATTAATCGGGGTATACAACTCCTGGTCAATCAGATCATTCAAGGTGACCTTGAAGATATCCACGTTGAACTTCATCTTCACAAATCTGGCGTAGTCGTCGCGAAGAACGCCAACAGACACGACGTTTATGATGAGGTCGAGTTTGCCGTCGCCGTCCACGTCCCCAACCGCTCCTGGGAAGGAAATGCATACATATTTATATGATAATGATTGAAGCGAACATCAAAAGTCTTTCCTGTGACAAGACGACAAGGCTGTGAGTATAAACTAATTGTTCATATTGTTGAAATTCATCATCAACAGAGCGGATACCCGAAGTGATGTAGAGCTCCTTCCAGGTGAGACTCTGAACGCAGGAAGTGCGTTCATAAAGCTGAGATGTTGATACTCTGGTATTTACTAAATACCGTTGTCTGCCTTATCAGATAAAAACTTACGAGGAAAAAGACTTCATTCAGTGTTTGCCAAGAAATTCACAATCAGCTTAATTAGATAGAACAAGTTCTCATTTCCTTGAACTACAAGTGTCCAAAATGGCCTATCTTATAAACAGTGTAGGTATTAACAGAGCAATATTGTATCTCTATATTAAATTGTTTAATGCTGTTTACCCGTGGTTCTCTCGTCTGGCTGGATTAGAACACAATAGGGAGTATTTGAAGTCGCGTTGACATCTCGTTTACCACGAGACCAGGGAACTTCGTTCTCAGTCGCTGTGAAATTTTCTCCATATTTCTTGATAACCTCATCTACAAGTTGTTTGTCCTTCTCTGTTAGTTCTGCGAGATAAATGCAAAGGTCAAACGTGAGTAACGTCGTTTTGATTACACTGATGACATACGTGTGAAGGTAAAACCATGGCTGCATCCGGTTCCGAAAATAAGAGCATCGATGAATTTAATTTCATTCAAAAGATAAAAGCATTATTGTTTCTGATTCAGAAGAAAGCATTTTACCCTCTGGTTCTAAGCGGAAGGTCCGGGGTTCGATCCCCAGCCGCGTCATACCAAAAGACGTTAAAAGATGGTACTTGTTGTTACCCTGTCTGGCGCTCGGCATTAAGGGGCTAAAACAAGGACTGGTCGGCTCGGAGTCAGTATACTGTGTCTGAGTGGGGTATTCATGTTAAACTGCGGCATGGTATCTCAGTGTGCTAGCACTATAAATCGGCATCAGTCCGGACTAGTACAAGCAGCCACACACACACATACACGTGCATGCACGTCGCTATATAAGTGCAATAATCTTGGACGCGACGTTAAACCCCATTTCACCTCACCACCTCTGGTTCTAAAGAGAGCATTATTGTATTTGATAAAGGGGAAGAAGGCATTATTGTATCGCATTCATAACAAGAATGCATTATTTTATCTTAGCTAAAAGATGAGAGTATGATTGTATACTGAGGGGGAAAAGAAACTATACCTATCAGTTGATTTTATCATTATATCAGTTTCAATTGTTAAAGTTAGCGATATTATATCCAAAAAATGATATCTATTGACGCTTAGTATACTTCAACATAGTTTTATTATTAACTTTTTAGAATTAGAAAACAATTTATACACGACTGTTGATGGGCATCTCAGAAAGCAAAGGAAGTCGTTATTTGCGCAAATGCACAACCTTTCATACCCGATATGGTCCGAGTGGTTGCAAATTCATTTCTCACCCCATTCTTCATTGAATCATGTATTTTTACACAAGATTACCCACTAACAGACTACCTTTTACAGACTGTTGCAAGAATGAGTGATGATTAGGTATACAGAATAAAATTTAACAACAGTTGTTTGTTCTCTCAAACAATATTAGATGGTGGGTCCCAAGCTGGCCGCTTTAACTGGGCTGTCCTTCCGCCAACCTCAGAGGATTAAAAGATTAATAAAATGACAAGCATTATTGTGCATAAAAAATAATAATACACGTAAAAAAACACATATTATACGTACTGTAATAATATTTCTGAGAACCGAAATCCCAGATTTTAAGAGGGCGCTTCATTATTGTTCTATCCATGGCAAATGATTCAGTGATGTAAACTGTTTGGTCAGATTCACACTCAACGTAGTCATCATCCACAGAGCGCATGTCCCGGAAGTGATGTTCCGGAAGTAGAGCTCCGTCCAGGTGAGAATCTGAACGCACTTCTTGTTCATAAAGCTGAGAGTCGCCTTTAAGGGATCTTCTGTTTATCTGTGGCAAAACATTCAATACTAATAACAGAAAGATCAGTTGCTGGAATCTATCATTTGTTTTGACGCGATGTTTAAGTTTAAGATCAGATCATCACGGGCAAACATGCTCACCTCAATTCTTAAGATCCCGTTCAGACTGCATATAACAAAATGCCTGCACTGGAATGAGGCTGCTGAGCACGCCACGCCACGCAACGCACGCCATGCAAAAGAACGCCACGCCAAGCCACGCCACGCAACGCACACCATGCAAAACAATGCCACGCCACGCCACGCCACGCCACGCCACGCCATGCACGCCACACATCCATCCACACCACACTCATCCCCACCACACCACACGTCACCTTACCACTCTCTGTATCCCTGTAGCCCCGTGTATGGCGCCGGTCCCCCGGGTGTCAACGCCTCTTCGCCCCTGGGTGCGGAACAAGAAGACGTCTCTGTTCCTGGTCGAGGTACGAGCCACCAAGTCTGAACTGACGTCATACTTGTTTGTGGTCATGTTCCAAAGAACGGACCCGTCACGGCCGTCAAGGACGATTGTCTGGAAGGAAATCACATGAACTTACTAACTGACATATCCTTAGTTATATACAGCGAACCCCCGTTAATCCCGACCCCGTCAGTCTGGACATCCAATTAATTGGACGATAACAACCAATGATTGTGAATATCAGACTTCAAGAGATGAGGACTTACAGCAATTAAAATTGAACACCTTCAAGTTAAACGACACATGAGCTTTTTAACAGGATGGTGAGAAAGATATGATGGGAAAGTCCAGATTAACGGAGTTAGAAACAGAAACAGTGAAGATTCAGGTTAGAATTGGTCTTCAGCAACCCATGCGAGGCGAGTAACGGGATCGGGTGGTCAGGCTCGCTGACTTGGTTGATGCATGTCATTGTTATGGAATGCCGTAAGGGACATTCTCGCGATCTCGCATTCTCGCGATCTCGACCTAGCCGAATGCTACAAATTGGTCTTTAAAAATTTTGTTTTGATGAATATGCTAGCCGTGTATAATATTGCCTCGTGGAGAAAACCACTGGCCTCTGTTTATTTCTATGACTGATGGTGTCGCCGCGAATAGCTGCAATACTGCTGATGTGGCTTTAAGCAATATTTACTTTCTCACTGACAGTGATATTTTGTTTCCAGTTCCCTCACACTTTCACTATCACTGGACATTCATGTACATAATTTATTTTGTTAAATTATATTGAGCATGTTGAGGGTTTTAATTCAAAGTACATAGGAAACTGTACCAAAAGTACCAAAACTCTACGCTACATGGGACTTTGTGTATGTAAATTACATAGCATTTCAAGCTCAAGTCATGGGTTTGCTAAACGCTACTTGGAGAATGTAGAGCATGAAAGAAGCATGATCACCGGACTACTAACGTGCGCATGCGCCTTGACCTTATGATATTACGCATAAATTCTTCATTAGAAGTTGACTTTTACAAATGTCATATGAGACTCACAAAGGTAAGTTTGAACAGTTTTCTTGCTTAAGATTCCTTCAGACTCTAATGTACAGAGGAGAAAAAGTTTCGTGTTTATGATGATGTTTGGTTCATTCATCAAGTAGTGCATCTGATTATGAGGCTGTACATTCCTTATGGATTGGAATTTACACAAGATCACCTACTCTTCTGTCACTGGAATTTCTAACGACCAACCACCCTTATCCTCACCTTAAAAGAACAGGTACAACACAACCACTATATGACGGAGAGACAGGATGAAAGAATTCCTTCACCTGAACTTCACTGCGGTATCATTTGCCCAGAGGTCAAGACTTTGTTTGCCAGACTGAGAGCCTAAACTTTTATCAGCCATTACTACATTTATTTGAACAGAACAGCGTACAGAGGGTATTTATGTGTGCGTTCGTTGGGGTAAACATGCCGTTGCCGCGTCGTTGACATGGGTGACCAGTCTATTGGCTGATACACGTACTGTGTGGTTTTGAGTGATAACACCGTATTGATTCGTTCCTTGGCCCAAACTGCTCTATATTAATAGCTTGACCCTCTTAAATTTATAAATGGATTTATGAATGATTCAGCGCATTTTTCATACGAAATACTTCACAGTATTTCAGACAGTGTTGCTACCGACGCCATATTCAGGGGTGATGACAAGGCTAATATCCAAAACTGAGTGAGTGAGTGTGGACTAGAGTGAGTGAGTGTGGACCAGAGTGAGTGAGTGTGGACCAGAGTGAGTGAGTGTGGGCCAGAATGAGTGAGTGTGGACCAGAGTGAGTGAGTGAGTGTGGACCAGGGTGAGTGAGTGTGGACCAGGGTGAGTGAGTGTGGACCAGAGTGAGTGAGTGTGGACCAGATCAAGTGAGTGTGGACCAGAGTGAGTGAGTTGTTGACCAGAGTGAGTGAGTGTGGACCAGAGTGAGTAAGTGTTGACCAGGGTGAGTGAGTGTGGACAAGGGTGAGTGAGTGTTGACCAGAGTGAGTGAGTGTGGACCAGAATGAGTAAGTGTTGACCAGGGTTAGTGAGTGTGGACCAGGGTGAGTGAGTGTGGACCAGGGTGAGTGAGTGTGGACCAGGGTGAGTGAGTGTGGACCAGAGTGAGTGAGTGTGGACCAGAGTGAGTGAGTTGTTGACCAGAGTGAGTGAGTGTGGACCAGAGTGAGTGACTGTGGGCCAGAATGAGTGAGTGTGGACCAGAGTGAGTGAGTGAGTGTGGACCAGGGTGAGTGAGTGTGGACCAGAGTGAGTAAGTGTTGACCAGGGTGAGTGAGTGTGGACCAGGGTGAGTGAGTGTGGACCAGAGTGAGTGAGTGTGGACCAGATCAAGTGAGTGTGGACCAGAGTGAGTGAGTTGTTGACCAGAGTGAGTGAGTGTGGACCAGAGTGAGTAAGTGTTGACCAGGGTGAGTGAGTGTGGACCAGGGTGAGTGAGTGTGGGCCAGAATGAGTGAGTGTGGACCAGAGTGAGTGAGAGTGTGGACCAGAGTGAGTGAGTGTGGACCAGAGTGAGTGAGTGTGGGCCAGAATGAGTGAGTGTGGACCAGAGTGAGTGAGAGTGTGGACCAGAGTGAGTGAGTGTGGACCAGAGTTAGTGAGTGTGGACCAGAGTGAGTGAGAGTGTGGACCAGTGTGAGTGAGTGTGGACCAGGGTGAGTGAGTGTGGACCAGAGTGAGTGAGTGTGGACCAGAGTGAGTAAGTGTTGACCAGAGTGAGTAAGTGTTGACCAGGGTGAGTGAGTGTGGACCAGAGTGAGTGTGTGTGGACCAGAGTGTGTGAGTGAGTGTTGACCAGTGTGAGTGAGTGAGTGAGCACAGACCAGAGTGAGTGAGTTAGAACCACACAACCCAATCACAATTACAGCAAAACCTATTCTAAAGATAAGCAGAAATCACCTCAGGGCTAGGGTGGGTCCAAACGTCCAAACGTTATCAATGTCAATGTCACCTTTAAGCACGTGTCCAGGTTCTACTCACATCTGTTGTGTTGTAGTAGGGCCACGCCCCCTTGCTCCAATGAACCATAAAGTCCATGACGTCATCGTCATTGAAATGCCCAGGTGCAGGTGTACTGTTTTTTAAAAAAAGGAGTATTCAAATCGTTCAACGACCACTCTGATTGGTCAGTTCTATTTTATCACATGACTTCATAAAATGTATATAAGGACACAGATGTATTCCACAAGCACCGTGTGCGAAATACGCTCCAGTCGGAAAGCGCACGTAAAATCTCCTAATATAAGTAAGTAAGTCCACAAGCAATGAAATTGAGATTGCCAAAACCCGGTTGGGCAGGAGATCATACCTAGTATCATCACTGTTTGATAGCGATTCATTAGCGCATGACCGACCATTGGATATTCGGCAGGGGGAGTGGTGGAATATTTATACGGAGATAAGATATTTTTTCAACTACAGCTGACAAACCAGATATATTTTTCATTAAAACTATGAGCCTAAATATTTCCTTCACAAAAACCCCTTGCATCTTGCAACAATGTATAAAATCATTCTTTGCCAAAAATTATTTCCGATAATATGCCCAGGCCATCCATTAAATATAAAATGGTCGGTTCCTAATGGTATATTCGGAAGGTACAATGGACTCTGCTTTTTTGCACTGATTGTGTATGCTCGGTTTGATCGTTCTTATTTGCACTTAAAGAATGTTCATTATAGATTGCAACAATGTATCGAATCTATGTTTAAGTGGGATGTTCAATGATAACTACATTACGCGCCGTGACTAATTTAAATTCCAGTGGCAAATATTTCAACACATTGATATAACGGAACTATACAGTGAGTGAGTATGGTTTTACGCCGCTTTTAGCAATATTCCAGCATTATCACAGCGGGGGACACCAGAAATGGGCTTCACACAATGTACCCATGTCGAATCGAACCCGGGTCTTCGGCGTGACGAGCGAACGCTTTAACCACTAGGCTACCCGACCGCCTCCGGAACTATACAGATATCTTTAACCATAGGTTGAACAGGCAGAGGAACGTCACGGGTTACCTGTAGGACTCTCGCCCATCTAACTTGATCTTCCACAGATTCTCCAACGTCCCGCCGTCAAACAAAATCACCGTGCCGTCAAAGGCCGACATGAGAATGTCCTTGACCCCGTCGCCGGTCATGTCAATCAGCACTGGAGGAACCATCACGCCTTTGTCCGGCGACCTGGATTATTGATTAATTCAACAAGATGGATTAATCAGTGCTTATAAAAAAAAGTGAATAGTCTATAAATTGTAAGACAATTATTTGACCAAAGCACGAAACCTTTGACAAGGGTCTCACTACTTCCTGCCCCGTGAAGATCCGGATTAGAATTGGTCTTCAGCAACCCTTGTTGAGACGCTACTAACGGGATCGGGTGGTCAGGCTCGTTGACTTGCTTGATCCATGTCATCATATCCAAGCTGCGTAGATTGATGCTCAGACCCGTAAAGATCCGGGTTAGAATAGGTCTTCAGCAACCCATGCTTGCCGTAACAGGCGACTACGAGATCGGGTGGTCAGGCTCGCTGACTTGGTTGCTGCATGTCATCGTATCCCCATTTCGTGGATCGGTGCTCATGATGTCAATCACTAAATGTCTGTTCCTGACTCAATTATTTACAGACCGCCGTCATATAGCTGGAACATTGCTGAGTGCGGCGTTAAACAACAAACAAACAAGTTTCGTTAGTTGAGAAGTGGGATAAAGTGCAGAAGCAGGAGTTACACGCAGGTTACACTGAAACCTCGACAATCCGGACCCTGTTTATTCAGAAACCCAACCTTCCGAGAGATTACTGCAGGGTTCAATTTCTGTATTGCGTGTACCCACGATTCGTTAATCCGGACAATTCCAGTGGGAAAGCTGCCGTCCGGATTAACGAGGTTCCATTGTGTAAAGTTCAGACACGGGCAACAACACTGCGATAACAGAATCTAGTACCTGAATATTTCAATGACACCATCATCGCCCGCTTTCCTTGCCCCCCACTGTGTGTATCCCCCCAGGACGTTGGGCACGCGCTGATCACGAGGGTACTTCAGGACATGCCGGTAGAAGTCAGGGACCGATATAGCCAGAAACAAACCTGAAAATTGTCAGATCACATGAATATTAACTGTCAAATCAAAACATGTCGGACGGTTTTTTTTTCAAATACAGTAAAACCTTGCTTGTCCAGATCTTGTTGTCCCAGAAAGCTCTGCAATCTAAAGCAAATAATCTACCAGGCAAGCTCGTGTTTGACATCATGAGCATCGATCTACGCAGTTGGGAATTGAAGACATGCATCAACCAAGCCAGAGAGCCTGACCACCCGATCCCGTTGGTCGTCTCTTACGAAAAGCATGGAATGCTGAAGACCATTTCTAACTCTGGCTTTCAAGTACGTAATGTCTTCACATACAGAGGGGGGGGGGGGGGGGGGGGGGGGGTGTTCACAGCGAACGAGGGTGGCGCCGAAATGTAACTAATGTTGGGGGGGGGGGGGGGGGGGGGGAAGAGACATGAAGAAAACAGTTCTCTTACACACGAAAAAATGTTACTTAAAAAAGGAGCGGGGGAATAGCCCCTACGAATAGCCCCTAACCCTCCTACATATAATAAAAGACCAGTCCCTAACTAGATTTTAATTGAAAGGTGGAAGGTCTATCAGATTGACTGATAGTTGTATAGCATATTCACAAAAATTAAATCATTTGTGAAACACTACTCTTTCCAAAAATATTTCTGTTTTCACATTAACAAATGTTACTTTTCTTCATGTGTTCAGACAACGACTAAAAAGTCTAATTAATTAAGTCTTGCTGATAATGACAACCATTTAGCCAACCTCCCACTGTCTCGCCTCCGCTCCCGTACAAGATGTACTGGGATCCGTCTCGTAATGTGTGTACAACAGGTGCGCAGTAGGTCTCCTTGTTCTCGGGCATTTCTAGCGGTCGTCCGATTGGTTGCCCTGTTGCCCCTGATAACATCATCAGCCAACCAGCGTGTCTGGTATGGATCTGAAAACACAACAGGGCGGTCATAAGTAACAAATAACCCACGACAATCTTTAGTTATTTTTAAAATGATGCAATTCTATTTATTCGGGACTTTACCGGAATTTCCATTCTTTGGATATCCAACGTTAAGTCATCACCCGAGTAAAAATTATTTATATTTATGAATTCTTTATACAACCCAAATAGCTTTGCTGAAATGATGCACCCATTTTTAACTCGATTCCTTGTGTTTTGAAATGTATCTTAATAGTATTGATGTTGTAAAATAGCGAGTAGCTATAACACGTTTTAGGTTTAGTTCACATATGTTCATGAGTGAAAAGGGGAGATGCTTAAACCCAAATCACAGCTGGATCAGCGTTTATGTTCATTTTGTGAAACTTAGAAGACGAATACCATTTTTAATAATGTGTCCAAAACATATGGAGTTAAGACGTCTGTATTTGCCAGATTACTCATATGTACACCATAGTGTTTTTTTAATCGTCCACTTAATGCAAGACTGTCGCAGAAATGTCATGTTTCGATAGGCAAATTGTGTGTACTACATTATGAATGAAAGAAAGAATGCATTATGATCAAGATGTGAAAATATTTGTAATTACAGTAAACTACGGTTATAACGAACTCAAAGGGACTACTATTTTTAGTTCGTTATAACCGTAGTTCGTTATAAGCATATATACAGCATAACCACAGCAAATAGTCGGGACTTTAGTTCGTTATAACCGTAGTTCATTATAAGCATATATACAGCATAACCACAGCAAATAGTCGGGACTAAAAAGTAAGTTCGTTATATCCGTCAGTTCGTTATAAGCGTGTTCGTTATAACCGTAGTTTACTGTATGTATACACTTAGGCAACTAGTGGGGTGGGAGGGTCGGGATTGTTAGGGTGGCAAGTCTCCAATCTTGTTTGTTAAAGAGTTGAGCCGCACACTGTGGCCTGGATGTATACGGTGTTACCCTCTGTATCTGGCCCGAGGTCTATAAATAAACGTAAAAGTAATAGAATGTGCTTTTACGCCGTCTTGTTGAGCATAAATGAGTAAGTGAGTATAGTTTTACGCCGCTTTTAGCAATATTACGGCGGGAGACACCAGAAATGGGCTTCACACATTGCGGGGAATCGAACCCGGTTTCCGACGAGCAAACGCATTAACCATTAGGTAACCCCATCAGTAAGGCACAACCATAAACCTTATCTCAGGCATGGTGTGGTTTAGATCAACAATGGCATGCTACTTTCTAGACAACGAAAAGCTAGAAACCTCAGCAGCCACAGTTGGATCCCCGCCATGCGCAATGACGATTTCCGGTACACCATCGTAATCAAAGTCTGGAAGAGCGACTGAGTGGTAGATGTTCCATCCGCGGTTAAAGTTGTTACCGTCGCCGGCCCAGAGAATCTCACCTGCAGTAGAAGTAGAAATATTTTTAATTGTACATGTGAATTAATCTGACAAATCGGGGTGATCGCTGATCATAAATGACATTTTGTCAGTAATTTTCACCACTGCCCACTAGAATTTCTTTCCTCCGGCTTATGCGTGTTAATGTAACAGTGTAGCGCCAGCGCAGCATACCCAGGGAACCAGGCTGACTTCGAAGGATCTGCTGGCTCCTACAAAAGGCTCCCCACAGCAAATCATGTACAGAGTTTGGAAACTATCAATGTAAGTTTTATTTAACAATTCTTTGGAAAGATTTTTTAATAATTACTGAAACTGTACTTAACTACTAGACTCTCAGAACAGATTCATAAACAGAGTCATTTATGCAAAACTTAATTGTTTAAAATGATATATGTTATTTTATTCGCGCATGTATATCGGGAATTAGCGTATTAATAATTTGAGGCTGAAATAAATAAACATTTGTTAACTTCAGCTTCAGACTGAAAATTAATTTTATTATATTTGATCAATCATTTTGTTATAATTCCACAAAAAGGCTTTGTTTTACATTGTATAAACCGCCAGAACATCAAAGGTGTATCGACGTATTGGCATGCGAAGCTTAAGTTCTTATATTTAGAGTTGAAAGAAACACACCATAATTCAAGTAAAAAAATAAGAACACTGTTAAATAGTCTTACGATTGATACAACATGACATTTACCAAGGTTGTAACCACATTTACTAAAACAGAGTTGTTGTTTCTTTATCTTATGAAACAATATACTGCCGGACAGCATGATTGGTTGAAGCGCCATAAATATTTAGAATTGATGTCCTGATTTTCTAATAATTGTACTGAATTGAAATAAAACTGATTACAAAACTATGACTGTCATTTCCAGTAATGATGGTAATAACAATGATAATAAGTAATAATTAAACTACATTTATTGTTATCATCATTGTAGTAGTGAGTGAGTGAGTGAGTGAGTGAGTTGGGTTTAACGCCGCTTTTATTATTACAGTTATATCGCGGCGTGTCAGCTTAATGTGGGAGGAAAGCCCGAAGTGATGCAGGTCTCAGACGTTTACCACTTCGGTGAAACCCACGAACACGGGTATGGTGCTGACAAACCTAGAAACATAATCGGGGCGAACCGGGATTCGAACCCACAATCATAGGGTAGTGAGTGAGTGAGTGAGTTTGGTTTAACGCCGCTTTTAACAGTTTTCCAGTTATATCACGGCGTGTCAGCTTAATGTGGGAGGAAAGCCCGAAGTGATGCAGGTCTCAGACGTTTACCACTTCGGTGAAACCCACGAGCAGGTGTATGGTGCTGACAAACCTAGAAACATAATCGGGGCGAACCGGGATTCGAACCCACAATCATAGGGTAGTGAGTGAGTGAGTGAGTTTGGTTTAACGCCGCTTTTAACAGTTTTCCAGTTATATCACGGCGTGTCAGCTTAATGTGGGAGGAAAGCCCGAAGTGATGCAGGTCTCAGACGTTAATCACTTCGGTGAAACCCACGAGCAGGATATGGTGCTGACAAACCTAGAAACATAATCGGGGCGAACCGGGATTCGAACCCACAATCATAGGGTAGTGAGTGAGTGAGTGAGTTTGGTTTAACGCCGCTTTTAACAGTTTTCCAGTTATATCACGGCGTGTCAGCTTAATGTGGGAGGAAAGCCCGAAGTGATGCAGGTCTCAGACGTTTACCATTTCGTTGAAACCCACGAGCACGGGTATGGTGCTGACAAACCTAGAAACATAATCGGGGCGAACCGGGATTCGAACCCACAATCATAGGTTTCTGGCTCCCAAGAGACGAAACTCAGTAGTAGTAGTAGTAGAAGTAGTAGTAGTAGTAGTAGTAGTAGTACATTGTCATTATCGACATCACAGTAAGTCATATAATGCCTTTAAGACCAAAAATCAGTATCATTTTACCATTTCTGATATTGATAGCTCTGATGTCACCAAGACGCCCCGTCGCTATGCAGTCGTTAACGCCGTCCCTGTTCACGTCGATGGAGTGACAGTTGAGCTCAAAGATTTCAGCATAGGCCTTGGCCTGCCACAACAGTTTCCCGTCGTAGCCCCGAAGAGCGACGACAGCACCGGCACACGGAGTCTCCATACCTACAACAGTGGGAGACAATGAACACTACCGTGAAGGAAACAGCGGGCAAACGGTCGTGCCGTGTGGGTGAGTGAGTGAGCGAGCGAACGAGTCTAGTTTAAGACCGCTCTGAACAGTATTTCAATTATATGACAGTGTATCGGCTTAACGTGAGATTTGTTTGTTGTTTAACGCCGCACTCAGCAATATTCCAGCTGTATAACGGCGGCCTGTAAATAATCGAGTCTGGACCAGACAATCCAGTGATTGATATCATGAGCATCGATCCACGCAACTGGGATACGATGACATGCATCAACCAAGTCAGCGAGCCCGACCACCCGTTCCCGTTAGTCGCCTCTTACGACAAGCAGTCTGAAGACCTTTTCTAACCCGGATCTTCACGGATCCTTAACGAGGGTGTGTGTGGGGGGGGGGGGGGGGGGGGGGGAGCCTAAATGACTCGTTGACGTATATCACCTCGCTGAAGTAGATAAACACCAGTCCTGTCTTCACAGACCAATGAGCATAATCGGGTGAACCCACAACCGGCGGCTAAGGAATTTAATGCTACACACCGAGTCGTGTCTCCCACCCACTGGTTTATACTCTGTCACAATCTGGGATTCGAACGCAAGACCAGCGGATCCTGGCGGCTAAGGGACATAACTCTGCATAGCGTATTTTACACCTTTTGTTCCAGAACTCAACAGACCCAAGGATCATAAATGATCGTATTCTTGGACTCGAACCCACGAGCAGCGCTTCCTGGCAACTAAGACATAACCTTTGTACGGTGAAAAGCTACTGGGCCTGGCAACTAAGGGATATAACTCTGGGTGGTAGGGGGTGCACCTTCAACCACTTGGCCTACTTTCTTACATTCGTGACCAACTCGTGTTATTCCGGAACCAGCCGAATTGCGACTCATGACCCTCTGATGGCCATTTTTGCGACTGGGTTCCGTCTAAGCGCATTAATTAATAAGCACAATTAAAAGAACGTGCGTTGCGTTATGAGTCAAGTATATTTCCCCCATTTCATATATATTCCAGATGTTATCAAAAACACATCTCGACTTACGGTATTTATACAGTATGACTGACACATTTAACTTATCTAGGGTATATTTTTAGATGCAAGACATTTGTAAAATCAAAAATTATTCCTGAGGGATTCTTTGATCGAAGTACCTGATGCCATACGCGCATTCTGATTGATTTGTCGTATTTTCGCACCATTCGTCACCATTCGCCCCTTTCCGTAACCGCTATTCGGCTTGTCCCGGAATAACACGAGTTGGTCACGAATGATTTTCGCACATTACATTCGTCGATAGGGGGAACGAGTCTTCTTGCAGGTTACGGAAAGGCGCGAGTGGTGACGAATGACTTTCTTCTCAGAGAGGAATGGATACCCTCGTTCCCGCGTAGGTCGACACGTTTACCATGCCTGGCCTGATGTGCCTGCTTCCAACCCCATCACATACAGACATGTGACGTGGTGTTGCGGAAACGTTGCTGAATACGCAGTAACGCCACCTGCATAAATGACAATTAGGTCCTACCTTGGTCCTTGCAGAACTGGTCCATGGTGTTTTCGGTCAACATGAAGGTGACGTCCTTTCCGAATGCGAGACCAATGATGACGTCATCATACCCGTCGCCGTCTGCGTCTGCTAGACGGATGCAGGACTCCGTGCCTGACAAGGGAGGTAACCATACAACCAGGTTAGAAGCTAATGGAATGTTGATTATTTGTTCATTGGAAACGTCGTTTTCTTTCCTCTAGAAAACGTTTAATTGTGTGTGTCATTTCTACAAAATGTCTCCAAAGCGGAGTATCCCCCTCTTCAGGTCAAATCCCTGTTCGCCCCGATTATGTTTCTAGGTTTGTCAGCACCATACCCGTGCTTGTGGGTTTCACCGAAGTGGTAAACGTCTGAGACCTGCATCACTTCGGGCTTTCCTCCCACATTAAGCTGACACGCCGTGATATAACTGTAATACTGTTAAAAGCGGCGTTAAACCAAACTCACTCACCCAAATAGGTCGCGCTATGACTACTTGTCTTGAGGTGAATTGTTGAAAATGATTTGTGTAAAAGATCAGCTGACAGAAATATTTGATTCTGTTGTGTGAGGAATGTCATCTAGTGTGCCATACATATGAGCATCTGCGTGGATAGGAAATCAAGAAAACTGGTGTTTTT